GTTAAAGACTCTGCCGTATGATGTTAGGCGTCCCAATTGAAATTTCAGGGGAAAAAAAAAATTATACGTACAATATAATTTGGAGCTCTGCAAGAACAAAGTGGTCAATGCCTTGTGAGAAGTACAGTGGGATTTGATGCCTCCAAGTGATCGAGGTTCTAGTTCTAGATTGATGCAAAAACACTTCTTCCAGCATCATGCTCCCCTCCTAAAGGATGGGTCAATGTCAATTCAGTCAGTGCTGTTTAATGAGGTTTTTTTTCAGTATCTGTATCCCCTTAAAAGGCTTATGCTGGGGTTGTTCAGCCTGGGGAAGAATAGGCTCTGGGGGCATCTTCTAGCAGCCTTCCAGTGCCTAAAGAGGCTACAAGAAAGCTGGAGAGGGACTTTTTGCAAGGGCGTATAGTGATAGGACAAGGGACAATGACTTTAAACTGAAAGAGGGCACATTTTTATTAGATATAAGGAATTTTTTGTGGTAAGGCACTGGAACAGGTTGCCTAGAGAAGTTGTGGCTGCCCCATCCCTGGAAGTGTTCAAGGCCAGGTTGGATGAGGCTTTGGGCAACCTGGTGTAGTGGAGGGTGTCCCTGCCCATGGCAGAGGGGTTGGAACTAGATGATCCTGAAGGTCTCTTGCAACCTAAACCATTCTGTGATTCTATGTTAGTAGCGATATCCAAATATAACTCTCTTCTATCGTAATGCTGCATCTGGCAGACAAATAATGCTTATACCTCTTTTCTGGACTGCCAGATCTTCAATCATAAACTGATTTTACTCTGAATGTGGTTGTACCTGTCAGTACTCCTCCTTTTCCAGGGAGAGCTGGGTTACCTGTGCCAACGGTGTCCATCAGTCCTTTGTACTGGCAGACCTTCTGCCAGACAGAGGGAATATTCCAGGACGAATCAGGTGCTGTTTTAAACTCACTTTGTGCTATAAGCCTGGTAAATTGGAAAGTTCAGCCTCCATATCCATAGATACATAAATATGCCCTGTGTGGTCTCCCAAGGGGAAGGCAAAATGTGGTTTTAGTTAAGTTGCATGGGAATTTAATTGAAAGATTTAGGGCGATGCCGTAAAAGAGTAAATCATGGTTATGTGACGCAAAGAAGATTTATAAACCAAAATAAAAATACTTGAGCACCTTTACTTTTATAATTTGCTTGATACAAATGGAAATCTATATTAGTAATTTTGTCTGCTGGTAATTAAAAAAAGTAAGGGTTTTTATCCTTTACTCCTTTGCAGTCCTTTGGTGTAAAATAACGGGAAAGACAATAGCAAAGGTCAGAATGTTCTCCAGACACATCGCGGCTCTGAACCCACAAGCACGCTCACCTTCCTTCCCGTGAATGTTTGTATGATTTAAGCACACACTCAACTTAATTCACCCAAATAGTTCCTCAGAAGTCAGAAGGACTACTGAAGTGATTCAGATTAAGCACAAGTTTAGTGTAAGACCGGAGCTTTTGTGGATGGTGGCCCTGAAATTTGGCCAGCCTCCAAGGCCATGATGATCCTGGTCTATGGAAGAAGGTCGTTTGTAACGCAGAAAAATACTGGGAGGGATTTCAGAGAGGAGGGCTGGGGCAGTTGCATTAGAAACTTGACTTTGAACGCAGGTTTTGTGAGGATTTGTGCAATTTATTTATTGGTGAGTACTGTGTATGTTGTAGTGTTGATAGGTCTAGATGAGAATACTGTAATAGCAGTTGGAATATAGGGGGGGTTGTGAGATGGTAAGTTAATGATGTAGCTGTTAATTTGAATTTAGCAGACGTTTTAAATATAGGTTTCTCTTACAGAGACAAAAGTTGCAATTTAAAGCTCTTTGGTGGTCTAAAAACAGCTTAATTCTCTAGTAGCATGGTAATAAGTACTAATCCAGCTTATACAGTGATTGTAGTATGTCATGTTTGTGAAAGATTGCCTAACTCGGCTTTCTCTGGGTTTTATGTTAATTTTTTTAAATTAAACATAAAACCTTATAACATCTTTATGCTGAGATAAACTGTTCAATTTAACTTGTGCTCAAGCAGCAGCTGTCAGGAGCGATCATGTTTCGAGCGTTCTTGCCATCACCTTGTGTCTCTACCTCCCGGATACACTCCGTAGGATGACAAAGCTCACCTTGTTAGGATTTATTACTTAAATAATAACCCGAGGTAAAATGGAAGTTGATGTCACGCGGAATGACAACTGACATACATTTGTGTCGCGTGTTACGTTATGATAAACTTCCCTCTCTTCCCCTTGCAATAGGTGTTAAGTGGGAATACGCTCCAGCGTATCCTCCAGTGCCCCTCCAGTGAGTCCATTAGCCACGTAGGCGGCCGCGCTGTGGGCATGTTCGCGGGGACTCGTGCTGTCAGGTGTTATTTGAGCTTCTGATGCCGGGGAAATTGGTTATCCCTGGTCGTTAGCAGCTTTTAGGCCGGCAAAGAAACAAGTAGAAGAGCATCTCATCCTTGTTGGGTTAAATTCTGGAAATGCCGCCAAGTATGGCAAGCGAATCAAGAAGGGTGTTTTCTCATAATATTACCACTGAAGTGGGTTTATTTTTATTTTTTTTTTTGCTGTTAGAAACGTAAGCAGTGTCATTTCAGGCTCTAAATCGGAATTTGCTAGTCATGGCAACGGTTTCCCCTGGTTTATTGATGAGCCAGGCAGTGATCTGCTTGTTAGCTGAGTCTTAGCGCTTCCCATTTACAGTGGAGAGAATTTGGGTGTACTTCTTGCAAGCTTTCCGAGTTTTTGGCCTTTCTTGCCTTACTGGAAGCCAGCCTCCCGCTCCCTGTAATGATGCTCTTGAATTCCTTCAGTTTGTCTTAAGCCAGTACTGCAAATAGAATTTTCCTTTCCTGTGGATATAACCATCTTTTTTTCATGCTCGTCTCCTGGTTATTCTTGTGTCCGTCTGAGCAAGTTCAGATATTTCCGAGCTACCTGGTTTTGTCCGAGCTTAAATCTCGGATCTCATTTCTCGTCGTGCTCCCCGTTGCCCTTTCTCCAGTTGTCATGTTAACCTTGACACCTGCACTGCCTTCTCTTTCTGCTCTTCCTTCTGGGTCTTCCTCGGTGCTGCTACCTGTGTTTTCCATCCCTGTTTTTTTCCCTCTCTTCGTTCAAACGCAGCCAAGTCCGGAGACACTGCCCTGCATCCATTCAGTTTTCTTCCTAACTCCTGGCAGAAAGAGGTTTTCTGAAAAAATCAGGAAAGGAAAGGATAAGCTATAGTGCAATCCAGAAGGAGCCCAAACTTTGCCGAGCAACCGTTCCATCTCATTTCTGTGATATTTGGGGTATGTTTTCTCCCGTTTGTGTTATAATTTGTCACTCTAGTGCTGAACTCGCAGCCGTATCGTGTCGCCCGTAGGAAGTTTTCCTGCCTCTGCTGGAAGTCTGGCACCCAGGTCCTTACGAGGTCCAGAGGTTATTACTCTTCGTGACAAATAAGTGATGACTTACGTAAAACCATTTTTTTCCCTCTCGGTATGGCTCATAATAAACCCGAGCTCGTGTCTTAATTGTCATTCTGTTTGACAGTCCCTTTAGAACGATCAAATATTTGATGAACAAGGCAATAACATTCATCTCTTACTTTCGTAAGCCTTTCAGATTAGCATTGACTCAAGTTGATGAAGATGGATACAGGATCTGTTCTCTAGGAAGTGTTTGTTCTGCAGATACAGATTATCTAAGGATGGTGTGTGTTAGCATAGGTGATGTTATGAGATGTGTATGGCTGTTTGGGGAAGCTCATGAGTTTTTAAGATTGACAACCAGGATTGGAAGTCTTTAATATTAGTGGTGTCGGTTTGGCAGTAATCTCGAACACAAAATCCATGTAAAAATAGGAAGAATAGGAATAAAATAGGATAAAGAATAGAAAGAATGGGGTGGGGGAAAAAAAATATAGGAAATATTTTAAAAGAATTAAACATTGCATAAATGAGTTCTCAATCTGAACCACTAAAATGGTGGATAGCAAAAGAAAAAAGTCAGAAGCATGCTATGTTGAAAAGTATTTTATTAAAGCTTAATGATCCATGTGCAATAAATACCTGAGCTCAATTATTTTGTTTTGGTTTGTTTTTTTTTACCCCTTGTGATAGGAAATGTCTACAGCTTTGCAGTTCCCTGTGGGTTCAGGATCCAGGTAGCTGGAGAGCAGCGTTAGCCGGGGGACAGGAGATGCTCGTAGACTTTTGGTGAAATGT